AGCGACATCGAAGAATCGTTAGAAATGTTCAACAAGAAATTCCGATGGCCACCCATCACCGGCCGGGACGCCGCTCACACGCAGGTAAGGAACATTACCCATTGTAACCACAATATTAATAACACGTATAGGAGATGGACACTCGCGATCTACGACGATGACGCAAAACGGTTTGGTCGACAATCGGATGGCAAGACGGACGTGACCAGTGACCACTGCGTAAAATAATTAAGTTGTGTAGGTACCTGAAACCTGCGTAGGACAAAACACTTATAATACATAATAATGCCAATATATACCTATATAATATTTTATAGGGCTATAAGTATAGCCTATAGGAGTTAGCATATTTTTCAATAATCATTCTAAACATAACTAAGTGATATAGACATTTTTTGTTTCATTGTTCTAGAGAAGTTTAAAGCAATAATTTTTATTTTGCATATTCAGCTGTTTTTTCCTTATAAGAGCATATTTTGTAATGTTTGTATTTTAAGAACATATTTTGCATATTTTATTAAAATTAAATCTATACTTGGCAGAGAATAATATTTTATACATAGGTACGTACTATACAACATTTAATATGAATTTTCTAGAGATTGGAAAAAAATGGATAAAAATAATTTTAATATAATCTATACCGCGTGATTTCCCAATTATTAGTGTGTTGTGAAAAACGAAATCGGTCGATAAGGAATACGCCTGATATTTATTAATTATCATTCAGAGTGTACCTATACTTTTTAAACTGTAGATTTTTTTAAAGCAATCCGTCTGTGCTCCAAGGTGCATACCACGTTAGCTGAATTCATACAAGAAGACCACATTATTAGGTCCATAATATTATGGGTTACCTACGTTACTAGTTACTCGCAAGCGATTATTTCCGCCATCGGTCAGTCGGCCAGCGGGAAGGAACGGTCAACAACGGCATTTTTCTTCGCGTGCCGTTGCAAGCGGGAGGTTATACACTATTTCGATTGTATGATAAACTCTTCCGGGTCAACATTATGCTTACCTAAAGCCTAAAGGAAATGTGTAAACTCTATCTAAAGTTATTTTAAATTGTATTCCTACACTATGAGTTAGCTACTGCACTACAGAGATTGTGATTACTGTTAATTATTATTATTATTATACAATTGCCCATTTTTAAATAAATATTGTAAATAATTTAGTAGTACTGAGGTAAACTCGGGAGAGTTTACGTGTTCCCGTCAGGTAGTATTGGAGTAGAATTAATAGTATTCGAGAGAGTTTACATCAGGTCACTAAAACCGCGAGTGTATAGTTGTATACTCTCTTTAGTTAATCGCCCTTGCAAACAGTTTTCTGATCATCACGAGTACGACAACTGTAAGTTGTGCACATTTCGAAAAAAAAGAGTCTTTAATACATAGGTTCCTAAATATATGTGCGTGCTCCCTCACTTCCGGTCCTACGAAACGTGTCACCCGTTTGCCGCCGACGCACACCAGTCACCTGTTTATATTCCCATGTTTCTCGTACAGAGATGTCTCTATACGACCGCTATTTACAATTATTATTTATTATAGTTGCACCAAAACATTTTTTTTATTTCCGTTCACTGTGAAAAATTATTTGTTTTCTGACATTTTGGTGGGGGGGAGCTTGTTAGCTACCTCTGGCAACAGCCAGGCATATAAACACTTGGGTAATAATTATAGGCACATATTATACATACTATGACTTTTTTAGATAAATACCTATATTATGATATTATGATATTCATGTTAATTCACTGATACTGTATACCAAAGATCATTTTAAATTCCCTTGCATTGTTTCTTTCTCAACTGTACTACAATACATACATCACCCAAGGGATAATATCAGTTCTCACCATCTTCCTAATTGTAACATCACACTTTTAAACAAGACAAATATTCATACATTGAACATTGATTTGGATACTTACTAGCTATACTACCTATTTATGTCATAAATCCGTTATATTGCCTTTTCTATGAGGTAAATGGTAACTATACTTAAAGGCTACGACCTGATACACTAAACCGTGAAAACTGCATACCAAAAAGCTCGACTTGTCCTTTTTATAACTCTTGAGAACCCTTTTGGTGGACTTGGGATCCAGACTTCCCACTTAAAGTATGGAGTACTTTATTATTAAAAAAAACTAAAAATTAAAATTATTTTATTTCACCAAACACGGTGTACCCTATGATACTTAAATTCAAGCACAAAACCCATGTACAAAAACATCAGAGTATGCCCTTAAAATGAAATATATATGTCCTAAAATCTTCAAGTATTGTATGTATTACAAATTTTGGTAATTTCATACTTTCATAGACAACATTGATAATCGTATTTTGTAACTACATATAGCATCCAACAAAAACTAGAAAAAATATGCAAATGCGCGAATAAGGACTCGTATTAAGGGGGGCTGCAAGGTCACGGAGCCAATGTTTATTCCCGAAATATTTTGTTTTATACATTCAAAACAAAAGCTTCCAAAAAACTAAAATTATTTTAGTAGGTAGTAATTATAAAATGTTCTTAATTTTATATCACGAAAAATTACTAAATTATTGTAAATATTAAATTGATATTGTAATAAGTAATAATTGATAACAATATGATGAGGTTTATAAAATGTGAGTTGTGATACTTGCGAACGAAGTCTTTATTATCTATGATTGTACGTGGTAATATAGTACAAATTATACAATTAAAGTCGTAACAATTTTATAGTGATACAATTTTTTTCATGTTCAAGTTGAAAGTGGGCTCAGTGTATGGTGTGGTTCCGGAACCCAATCGATTCTTAATCCTAGGGCTTGGGCATGGCTATGGAGGAGTGTTCAGTGTATACCAACGAAATAATGTTTTAACGAGATTTTGTCGATGTCTTTGAATATCTATTTTAAAGAATTCAACTATTTTGTATAATATATTAAGTTTTATGAATATTATGATAAATAGGTTCATCGTACGTAGGACTCGTAGGAGTATACTTGTATTATGAGTAATAGTACATGTCATTTTAAATATAGGTAGGTACTGTACTAGGTTTATTAAAAATGTTCAATATTTCATTTGGCTAAAATCACACACTACCTATTATTAATATACTTAATTTTTGGTTATTTTGTAATTTTTCGAAAAAATACAAAGAAATTCGAAAAATTTCTTTTCTGAAGTATCATGTGTTTAATTTCCAATCTGTTAAAGTGCTGTTTAGAGCTTTTAACTGCCCCCGTGATTGTAAAGTAAAACAGCGAAACCAATACATTTAACCCTCTACTCGGAATCTAAAATGGTCAATGTTTTGAAGACACTTATTACTTATCGATTAGTTATCATTTATCACAATCATTTTATACATAATCAGTAGGGGAAACCTAGTTATTTTAAAAAAAAAAAGCAATCCATAGTAAAAATCATTAAATTCACGAAAAATAAAGGAGTTAATGTCCCAGTTCTTCCTAAAATACGTTAGTCAGCAATTTTCAATATGATACTTTCATACTGTGACTCAAAATAGGTAGGTACACATTTTTCAAGAAACAAAACAAATTTTTTTGTCAAGAATTATTACTTTAACTTAATAAATATGTTGATTTAAATCAATAAACCTATGCCCACACTTTTTGTTATGTTAATATTAATCATAATTATTTTTTTACATTATTCAGATTCAGATAAGGAAACAGTTAATGTTATAAAGTATCATTACTCAAAATAATATGTGAAGTTATACCTTTGTGCTTAATATAACATTATTTATTATAATGATATAATTATATTACCAAATATAATTACAAAATTATTAGTGTGGTGGAAGTGCCACAGTCAATAAACTACAAGTTCGGTTAAGATATAATGAGAACATATAATTTTAATTCAACCACAATTTTAATTTTAATAATATATGTGTATTATATAGTTAACAATAAACGGTATGTAATTTTGCTACCAATTGATAAAAAAATTGCTGTTAACAAATCATAAAGGCAGTTTGCTTTATTATTTATGAACATTTACACTATTTTATGAAAAGTTAAATACATAAGAAATGAAATACAAAACAGTTGACAAATATATTCAAATTATCCGTAAAACCATAACAATAAATAATCCGTATTAAATTGACACATTAAAAAGAAGCAACATCAGTAAATTTACATTTCAAATACATTTTTGTATTTACATTTGTTGTTTTTAGTAGATAATAAATAATATAGTAATAATCATATTTCATAATAATAATATAATAATAATCAATTATTAAAAGTTAGAATCGCTAAAACAAATTTATTCTATTTATCACTTCATTAGCGTCTATAGAAAAAAAATCATCATCTTATACCTTGTACAATATAATTCCCCAAATAAGCTTATCACATTTATTTAAGCACACTAAAATTTGTTTATACACATTGAGCTTGTACGGATAACAACAAATTTGTGCAAAAAAAAAAAACAAACAAACAAACAAACTTCTACACTTTTTTGTCATATATACAAAAAAAGTTATTATTTTACATCCATTTACCTTAACATTTATATGTAATGTGTATTATTAATTAATATAAATATGTAAAGTTCAAGTATATGCATATATATATATAATATGTTTACATACATATATTCATATTTAAACACAAAAGCTACTCATATTTGAAAATGTATTTATGTTTTTGTTTTGGAGGTATATCTTTTTGAGATCAAAGGCACTGGCATATTCATTTAAATGAGTTAAATGAACAAAAAATATAAGTATAAGTATATATGTATGTATACATACATACAAATATTAACATACAATGTATTTTTTGTTGCACAGTTATAAAAATAGTAAATACTTACACTGTCATGTGAAAATATGTTTATTATAATATTTATGGCACAAAAAATGTAAAATAATTTTGAATAATTCTTTTAGTTAATTATAATTTGTTTGATGAAAATAAACATTTTTACTAGCAAATACTTTTCATTGACATTACTTTTTTTTTTTTTTACACAATAAACAATAACAAAATAATAATAATAATAATTAAAGAAAAATTCAATCATTTCAAAGACAATCAGTCTTTATTACTCAGCACTTTAAGATAAGTGATAACATATACAATATACTTATAAATATATATACAAAACACGCTCATACGTGATCATGCATGCACGTTTATATATGTGTGCCTGTTTAAGTAAATTAAACAAGATTAACTCGAATAAAGTATAAATATATGATTCTGAGTAAGTAAATGGAAATTGTCCTTGAATTGCATACATTGTGTAGCCGACATTTTTGTTAATCAAACATGTGTATCTACGTATAAATTAATAATAATGTGGATGTGGGCTACAAACTTTTTTTTTGCTGAGCAAACCTATTTACAATACTTAGACTAAAGATTTAACTTAAGATTTTTGATTACAGTTAACACCTGGAATTGCTCAAGCTACAACAAGCTAACTCGAAACATATTTTTTAATGAATAAGTATTTAACATTGATTTATCTAAATAACAATATATAACCTTAGGTATTACATGAACTTTTAAAACTACAACAAATATTAGAGACTAATGTTAACAAATTATATATTATATATATATGGGTTTATACAAGTTATATATTTCCACATGTACATGTAATAAAATATAATAATAACCTAGCATAGCAAATATGTGTATAGTAGAATGTATAAAATAGTTGTTACTTTAAAAACGAACACATTTTTTTCTTTTTATATATATATATATAATTTAATAATAATATTTTATGCAATATTATTTATTATGGTTATAACATCGAAAATTAACATAAATTATATGGGGCGACATAATTAAAACATTTTCATAGACTTGTCTTTAACATTTTCCATAGAACATAGACATTTGTATCAACTAAAACAAAAAAAAAAACAAAAAACATAAGTAATTACACAATTCAAAAAAGTTGTTTATTATAAATTACAATAATCAATAATAATAACATGTAGTTTTACTAATCAATTAGGTCATTTGACGTTAGCATAATTCATTTCAGATCGCTGTTTAGTCTATTATTCATTTGTTTCAAGTAAAAACAAACACGATACTGTAACGCTGCAGCATTGTTAGAAATCCCCCTCCCTCCCTCCCACCACTACCACTAGAAGCTCTACACAGTAAATCTTAAAAACGTGATGGAAAATAAATTTTGAAGTCATTCCCCTCCACCCACGCCATTGTCAATCTCGGTAAATGTTCAGTTTACGTCATGCACAGCTTCAGAAAATATATGTGTAGTCTACTCGAGGAGAAACAGCGTAGGTTTTAAATTAGCACGACGCATATTAATAAATAAAATAGTAAAATAATTTGCTGCAAAAAATCTTCATGTTGTTCGGAATTTTTCATGTATTAGGTACTGGTGCTCTAGTTACAATGATTCAAGTTGGAATAAAGACTAAAGTTTTGGAAAGACTTGATGGCCTCTCGTTATTCCAAAATAATTTTAAACAAAAAAACAAAAACTTTTAACGATGTTCAAATGGTTATTTTTGAAAATATTATAGCGTAGTGCATTTATCATATCTCTGATATTTGATTGAATATAATATATATTTCAACTGAACATATATAGAGTCGACCACAAACAGAAACAATGAAAAACCACTAACGACGGTCAACAGAAATAAAATATTATTAAACCACGAAATTTTCATGAGAAGCTTTGGATTTCCAACAACAAACACGGACAGAGTCCACTACCTACTGATTACCTACATCAAATTTACATTATGAAAAACAATTGAATTTCTTATCGAGTTGACAGTGAATGAAGTACCTATTCAAATATTTAAATATGCTGTACATGTAGAGAAATATTATTAATTACTATTATACGTACCTAATATTATTATTATTGTTATTATAATAATATTTAGTACACCGTACACGGACAACGCACGTCGACATAAAACTAACGGTAAAATAGAAGGGCACATCAGCCACGATTAACGCAACCTTTGAACTGTCAATTAATTCTAAATTCTTTAAAAATTAACGTCAATTAAAACGTCTATAAAATATCCACGCTTTAATTGCATGATCCATAATCGCAGTGGTTATTTCCATAGAACATAAAATATTATTAATGTTTTCGTGTTGATTAATACGGAAAAAATGGGAAAAAATTATAATGGACCGACCATAAAGTAGGTATGCGCGCTGTTGATACGATCGGTTGAGACTTGGCTAGCGCCAAGACGGCTAAGTAGTGGAAGCGACCCCGGGTCGTAAAAACCCGGACACGAATTGGAAGTATTTTAATAACACAAGTGCACTGGCCGACCTTTCGGAAACGGACGAGACGGTGAAGGAGCAAAGAGAGAGAGGGGTAATTGAAGTCCACGACATTGTTTCACAAAGGCGCCACCGGTACCGATAACAGAGAAACAAAAACCCTTGTGAGGAAAGAACACGACCGGTAAAAACAAAACCTTACATAATTTGTACCGGAAATAATATGACACGGGGCTATAAAAAAAAACAGGAAAGAAAATGAAGTTCTTTTTAAAAAAAGAAACAAACAAATAAAACAGCGACCGAAAATTCGAGTAGATTAGCTCGTCGCCGCGCCGGCGGGATTATAAATAATTGACATATATAGAACGATTCTTGGTTCTTTTTCTAGGGTATTCTCAAGGGTTCCTTACTGAAATTGAATCATTAACGGATATTTGTCAGTGCTCCGGTTACAACAGAATACCCAGAAACCACTACTACTCCGAACGTTAGTGAGAACAGCGCATAAACACGAGATAACGAGAGACAGAGTAATTTATTAAAAAAAATTCATATTTTTTTAAATTTCATCATCAGTGTTAATATATACATAGGATCCACTCAACATACACATATAGAAATGATTTCACGACATTGCGGCGGCGACGTGACTCCGCCTACACTGAAACACTTCGATACACTGATAATATAAATCGAGAGAGAAAAAAGGTATGCATTACAACACCATGGGTGTGCTTATGTTCGAATCAATAATCACAAAACATGGTGACCGCTAACACGAAATATTGAAATGAATTTAGAAGAACACAATATTCTACACACAGTGATTTCCATCCGTTCCGATACTATATCGTATTTAAATTTTACAGCACTACAGTAAAGAGCGGAGATTTCGTATTTTAGTTGAACAAACCAAAGTGCTCGGTGCATATAATATGATTAAGCGGGAGAAATTTAAAATTGCAAAAAGTTGTTTGTGAAAACCATTTTCTTTACAAGTTTCGACGATACGATACGGTTTATATTTAGGACACAATTAATGACAAATCGAAGACCATCCAACGCACAACCGAATATTTCTATATTAAATATCGCACTAAATACACACATAAACCCACACACACCTGTTCAATGGACCCAATGTTGTCCGGAGGTGAACGACGATTGGTCATGACTGACGGACGCCAAAGTCTGCGTGGTGGCTACCGACGGTTGCGGTTGTGCCGGTGGATTGAAGTTGTTGAAGTCCAAGCAGCCACCCAGACTGACTTCGTGGCTGATCACCTCATCCACGTTGCACTCGACTGGTGGGAATTTGTCCAAGTTTATGTTGAGCTCGTCGAATGATAGATGTGACGAGCCCATTATTTGTCCGACCACGGTGGCCGCCATGTTGTCATCCTGCTGATCGTTCAACATGTTGTCGAACGATATGCACTCCTGGGGAGGAAAAATGTGTAAGTTCCAATAGTCTACTTGTATTTGAAAGCTGATTTTCTAATATAAGCTTAGATAGCCCGAATCCGGATTTTTAATTTTAGAATTTAGAGCCAAAAGATTTAATATCAAGCTCAACACCGGTCGTACCTATATCATATACTATTCTACTATATACCACACCAGTTGGTCACCAGTGACCATGGTGATCAGTGACCACTAACTACCACTACAAAAATGACGCTTATCGTGCGGCATACCTGTTTTATGTAAGTGTTCTCGAGCTGGTTGAGGTTGAAACACGAACACCCTTGGTAACCGTGGATAGGACACGACTGGATCGATAAGCTACTGTATGGCGGCGGGGGTGGACGGTTGTCCAAGAACACGTCTCTGTAGCTTTCGAGCGTCTGCAGCGGCTGAGAGAGGCGGACGGTCTGCGCCAAAGTGCCGGCCAGCTGGTCGGCTTGGCCCTGTTCGGCCACCGAGTCCAGGCCGTAGTCGGCGGTGAGCTGCTCGCTAAATATCGGTGACAGGCGGCCGGTGGATGAAGCGTTTGACGAAGCCCGAGCTCTGAAGTCGGGACTGTAATGTATAAGTACCCAAAGATTAGTGATGCTAGTGAAGCTACTAACAGCAGTTGCGTTTTTTAAACCAAACAGTTAAGTATTTGATTCGGTTCGAAAAATCAAACTAACGAAAACAAAAATGCGAACTAACTTTGAAATTATTAGATAAGTGATCAATAATAATAGTTTTCAGATAATATAAAATATATTTGATTAGTTTTAACTAGTTTGGTTCATATTCAAATAAAAAATGTGTAGATCGGTTCGGTTCGACCTGAAAAATCGGGGCACGTGACATCGCTAATAACAAGACACGATAAGAAAACTAATCATCATCTAAAATAAACCAATAAATTGTTAAATAAAATTATTTTATTTTCAAAATGATTGTCAATTTTCCCGTTTTCGTAAGTCAATTACTTTACATATGAGTATTGAGTACATGACCATGCAGTTTAATATTTTCGGCTGCAATTCAATTACGATACACTTTTGACGACAAATAATGGCCAAATGGCCCATTCAACAACAGGCTTATTAAGTAAACATCGGTAGGAAACTTACATAAATCGACGCGGTTAATAATTAAATATTAACAATATTCCACGATTATCGACAAGCGTTCATCGAATAGTTCGTTATACCACGTAAAAGTGTAATGCACACACGAATCGACGAGCGTCGTCATTACACCCATTATACACGACGACGTATTATTATTATTTTACTTCCTACCAGAATCCAGTACGTACACACGATCGATAATGATGCATTTTGTTCTTACAGAGTAGTATACAAGAGTATATATTCTACGCGGACACAAAAGATTTTTAAAAAAAATACAAACCTGAATTGGTAATTCCTGAGGGGTGACACGGGTATCATGTCGGAGTTTTCGGAAATCGAAGAGCTAGGACTGGGCGTGTTTTCGGGATGCAGACCGTTGCGAATGGCCTCGACGACCTTCTTAACGCGGCCACGTTTCTTCTCAAATTTGGGTGTCTCCATGGACGTGGCGCGGCGCCTGGACTTACCGGTCGTCCGGCTCGCGTTGTGATTGATCTGCCACCACGACGACTTGCCGGTGCCCTCGTTTTGGATCTTCTCGAATCGGCTGTGAAGTGACAGATTGTGGCGTATAGAGTTCTGCAAACATAAACGGCCAAATATTAATTATACGGTAGCGATGTGTACCTATAGACTTAAGTCGTTATTATGCCACAGAATACAAGTAGCTGTCGGGTACAGAATGAGAGTCATTAAATGCATGTTACACGCCCTAATGATCATTTAACTGGATAATAATATGGTTATCGAAATAATCGACCGAACTCTAAACTAATATATTAATATTATGAATATAAAACGCGTGTACTTAATACAATTATTGCAAACGCGTCGTATACAAAATTATTGGGTTTGTTACGAGTTAATTTTTTTATTTTTCTCCGCCATTGAATATTATAATATTTTAGTACTTAATTAATATACGCTTTGCACGGCTTATCAACTTAGTTTGGTATAGAAACGAGGAAGAATATCTCGACTTTCGAGATTTTGTTAGTAATCTGGTAATTTATATGTATACCTGCAGGTATACATAATTGTAAAGTGCTAACACTGATCGTCGTCGTCGTCGTCGTCGTCGTTAGCTGTTCACTAAACGAAAAGACAAACCTTGACGAGTACTCCCACCTATACAACTGAGTGGACTTCGTATTACAAATTATCCATTTTAAAGTGAATATAAATTATGTGTATTATATGTATCACATTAATAAATCATGCATGGCCGCCGCCGGTGTAAAATTTAAATCCTAACGAAATACAATATGGTAATCGGTACGATTTGTTAATTTTCAGTGTCCTCAAAAGCTATATTGCCTACGAAATTCGTATAGCATTGGCACACGGTTGACAATATGTTAGAAGCATTAAGCGTGTCTTATAACACTGCAGTCGTCTTATTGCAATAGCGGATCGCCATGCCCTTTAATATACTCAAGGCTGAAATCCGGGAATATAATATAAGTATTATATCGAGTTACCTACACACGACACGCGGTAGAACATCGTGGACCAATTAATTAGACTGTGTGAGGTGTGAATGGTACGAATTCTAGACATCGTAATTCTTATTTGTAGGTGAAATATGTGTTTGATTTCGTCGCTTACAACCTACAAGATAAATTCTTAAAAAAATTCTCTCTGCTGACTACATTTATTTTGTAATAAATTTAATTATTGTGCTTGTGTGTCCATACGACCTTCTACATTTTTTTTTCAATTTGATTAAGCTTTATTAAATGCACGACAGACAAGGATGGAAGTATACGACGGGAATACCGAAACACAAGTGTAATGCGTAGTAAGTGCAATAGTCCCGGCCAATGACAGTATTTCTATAACAAGGGTTAAGTGAAAGATCAACTTTATGAGCAGACTCTCCTTAGCCTATATAAAATATTATTATTTATTTATTTACGTAGTTCTTCAAGACTGTGATCAAAAGACATAAATGTTGCTGGCTTTTAAAAGTTCCTCAAACAAGTAATTAGTTAAATCATTTATATTAAATGTCTTGTGAGGGAGGGGGAGTTAATTCAACATAACGAAAATAAATCGGAAGTTATCAGGTAAAATTATAAATTACAGAATAAAAGTTGTGTATGATAAAATATTCGATTCCGATTAGTTAGTTGCGACCAAATAATTGTACAAACCAAATAGTTTTATCAATAAAGGTAAACAAATATCAATTGTTACCGAACATAAAATAGAATCAATTGTATTATATAAGTCATAAAATATACTATCAAAAAATGATTCAACACGTGATTCACTTAATTTTTTTTAACATTTTTAAAACTATATATTCCAAGCTTTTTAATTAAAAAATATATAATATCATATTATAAATCCAAAAAAAAAAACTTGACATAACAACATATTATTCCATAAGGTGTTACACATGAAATAATACACCTTTACATCTACTATACACTACTTATTTTTAATAATTATAATAAACCTGTCTTCAACATTCTAACTATAAAATTATTACTATTTGTATTTAGGTTTAAAAAGGTGATAATATTATTTAACATTAATATTTCCACTTTAAACATGCAAGCCTTGTTTGTTTTTATTTTGTTCTTAATTGGTATTTACAAAACATAAATTTTCACTTGTTTCTAATTAATATTTATTGATAAATTAATAGAAGTTTGAATGAGTAGTAAATATTCAAATCACAAGCAAAAATTAAGCTTACTACAAAATACTTGAAACCGTTTGTTGTAAGATGTTGGACAACAAATCTTTTTTTAAATAACGCGATATTTATAATACTGTTTGTTAACGAAAATAACAAAATGTAAAATAATAAACAAGATGATGTTGTTTCAAAAAAATAACATTTATAGCTCCTCATTATAATAAGTTAAAAGATTGTTTTAATTATCTCGATATACAAATTAATAATAATAATAATAATAATATGTATACAATATACATATGTATATTAATTGTATTTATTCTATAATATTATGAGATCATCAAAAAATTCATAATTATTTAATAATCAATATTATACATTAATATAGGAATAAAATATAATTTCACAGTCCGTGGGAATCGCAAATGGACGGCTCTTCCGAAATTCCTATTTAAAGAGACAAAGAGACATAATAATATTATAATCTACATAATGAGGTATATAATGAACATCACGATAAGTAACTTCACGATACTTCGATTGAAAATATCAAAATGGTCTTCACTATAAATAAATGTTTTTATTAAGAATTCATTGAACAGCCCGCCCAATCAGTCAAAATACACATTATAATATTAATAATATGATACATCGGATATAATCGTAGATAAACCGAGACGATAATATGACAAAAGCTACACCGCGTACACGTAATATGTTTCTACAGGTTACTACATGAATCAGTCGACAGCGGTAAAATAATAGGAAATGAATTTATCGTATAAAATATATTTTTATATTTTCTTGAACAGTATTTAGAAAAATATTAAGAACTGTTCAATGTGCACAGCCGTCTGTAAGAGTATGAATAACGATAAACCAGAGATATATTTTATATTTCATATTAATACGCATTAAGCGCGCACAGGTCGATTTTTATTTTTTGACCTTAAAACCGTAATTTAACGGATAAGTCGATACAATTCGATCCGTGAACCACGTATGGGGGAGGGGGGGCTGAAGCTACAACTGACACCACAGTGGTAAGTGCTGAATTTGGGGGACGCACATAAATCCGTTTACGGCAAGTCAAAAGTATACATGTTGGCATTTAACAAACGGGATAAAAAAAAATTCTGTGAAAAGAAAAATGTGTCGAGTACATCGAAAATTACAGTAAATTATTATATTTTAATATAAGCCTGCCGATCTCCTGGCTCTTGTAAACGGCACACCCGTGTGAGATGTGCTGGTTTTAATGAAACCACGATTGGCGCGCACGTGTGCGCGGCGGCGCATAATATTGGCAAACCGGTGTGTGCGATGTGATATTTTGTGCCATGCGCGCGTGTGCGTATATTCGCGGCGGCGCTCGTTAATAAATCTATATTACAATGGATGCGAGAAAATGAAATCATTTTTGTACGTCGCAGATACGCCGATGACGCGCTACGCGGCAACGTTGTACTAGGTTAGGTTTTATTTATTTATTTATTTTCGAGCACTCGTTATTATTATTCTCACACTCATCATAAGCACGGGAATTCACGCAAAATGTCGGCATTTTAATCGTATGCGTGTCGGTGAGCGAAAAACTCGCGCGCCCAAGACCTTGGAGCGGCCACCGACAAAACCGCGGTAATGCGGTGACGTAACGTCCGATGATAAGTTGGCAAATCCTAGCTGTATTCTATTTATCTATACCGCGATGTACTTTGCGAAATAACTATCGAAACAGTTAACGAGTATTAAAGGTTTTCCGAAGTCTTTATTGGTTATTTCAGTTATCCTACGACTGAGGTTAGGAGGCAAACGACGACGAAGGATAAAATGGTTTTAGTACGATTTGTTTTAAGGATACCATTACTCTGAAACCGTAGTAGAACAATTATTATTATTATAGCAGTGTCTTCGGTGAGAAAATGAAAAAACGATAAGTCGACAAAACTAACCGTTGACAAACTTCACTCGGGACACTAATTACTATTATATTTTGATATGGGGAAAGAACACTGAAAATAACGAATTCGGCGTATTTATAAATTATTAAAAACGATAACAAATCGATTCTTGATAATTTCGTTATTAATATGAAACGAAATAAATTTTATAATATACAAGTTCGATGTAAAATATTATGTTGTATTATTACTAAACATAAACACGCCCAGCGAGAAAATAATTTATACTGGAAAGATGGTAAAATTACGGACCGCGTGTTTCAATCCGTACAATAATATTATTATACCGATCGTACGATATAAATAAATGGTTACTACGAAACGATTTCGCTACGTCACACATTGATACATCCGCATTCCCTTCCCCGCGAAGTCAGACCAGAAGTATGAATACATATTAAACTATGGGTACCGCCGACCGAGCAGAAAGCGTCGGTTTTCATCACACGTTGTCATCTCCCCACTCGGGAAAAATTTCGGTATAATATGTGTCGTAGTTTACAACCTTATGTCTTAATATTAATACATATAAAAATATAATAATATTATTGAACACGCCAAACACGAAGACGACGTCATCATCTACTACTACGTTACTATACCACTATTACCACTATTATTATTATTATTATTATTATTATTATTATTATTATTACTACTACTACTACTACTACTACTACTACTACTACTACTACTACTACTGCCGAGACAAACCGGTTGTCCTTCAGAGGCCTCGACCGCTTTGCAGGTCGTCGGCGAGCAGAGCGTTTCGTCATTACTACTGCCGTGGCGCTAAAATATTATGTTCTCCTGAAAATCTCGCCACCTCTATATAGACGCGAGTAACGTGATCGATGCCATCGACGTGGACGACGACGATGACGACGACATGGCTGCCGCCGCCCGTGGCGCAAGCTACACACAACTCCCCTTGGCGGTATGTCGTTAGACTCGACGGACAAACGTTT